CCCCCCCCAGCCGAGCCGTGCGTATTCAAGGGAAAGATGCTTTGGAAGCAGCAGGGCTCTCCTGGCAGGAGCCAGACTTAATCTCATCAGTGTCTGAATACCTGCTAAATATTTTTGTCCTCTGTTGGAGGAGAAAACAAATTCATCCTGTCTTTTCTGTGCTGGCAGCGTCCACCTGCACCAAGATTCTGCTCCAAGATGTGTACAAAATGGAAACTCCCTCCTAACACAGGGTACAGCCATCAGAAGGGGGTTGCTGGCGGTTGACGTAGAATTACAGCCCTAATGGTGCATAAACTCATTTTGTACTTACAGAGGGGAACAGGGTTTCTGATTTCAGGAAATGGAGGGGTTTGAACCACAACGGAACCAGACAGAGACACTTAAGATGCTAGGGAAGTGCAGGGAGGCTGGACTGCGCTGCTGGAGCAGTGCAGCTCCATGCTCCGTCCCCCAAAGGTCCTCCTGTTCTCCCAACTTCAGCATGAGGAGTCAGAGAAGTTGCCCTCATCTTTGCAGCATCCTGTCACATCTCATTTATGTCTGTATATAGTTTCCAAAGAGTTAGAAGAGCTACATTCATGATTACTCCCCCCGCCCTGTAAATGTAAGACTGAGCCTAAATTGCAATTAGATTCAGCTTTGGAAAGCATTGGCTCCCAGATGGAGCAGCACCTACAGCCACAGGAGGGACAGGTCTCATTAAAGACCCAGCACACCCTGACAGTGGGATACTCTCAGCACATTGCCCTCCCCAGGGACATCCAAGCTCCCTGCCCGGTAGTTTGCCAAAAAAAAAAAAAGCAAAAAAAAAGCGCCCTGTTTTTTGAGCAGATCTGATCCCTCTGTTCCATTCTCTGGGCTAAACTTTAGGAGGCACCAGAGGGCAGCTGAAAGCTGCTGGGAACCTTCACCACAGCCTGGGAAGGGAGAAAAACACATAAAACCAAAACAATAAAACGAATGCCACGCTAAAGCGCATCGCAATTACCGGGGAAGCTCCCGCCTGCTTCACC